AGCTCCCCTGGCAGCCAAGTTTCAGGGACTGGGAGAAGAGCTGTGAGGGAAGAAGGCTGACTCAACAGGCACCCCAGCCAGCAGCTGCCCCACACTGAGGAGGAGGAAACACCTCGGCAGGGCCTGATGCAAAACCGGGCCTGGACTCCCAGCGCCCCGGGGTGCACCCCCGCCGACTAGAGAGGCCAGGCTTGGCCCCAGCCACTCTGCAGAATGTGTAGCAGCCCCACCCTGCCCACAATGAAGCTGATAGGAACTCGCTTTGAAAGCAAGTTAGAAACCTTTCTTTTTCAGCACCAAGGGGAAGGAAGGATTGCAGCCTTTGCTGTCAGACCACCCTGCGCAGGGTCCCTGCTCTGCCACTGGGCGTGTGACCTTAAGTAGGTCTCTTCCATTTCTTCTGATGCAAACTGTGGGGAGCAGAGTGTAAGGGGCCTATTCTGAAGGAAGTGAAAGTGCCTGGTGCAGGCTGGCATAGTCGGTGCCAGGTGTCCCCACTCCAGCAGAGTCCAATGCCCATGGCCATTTTTCAGCAACCACTGCCCTCCATGTCCACATGTACCTCTGGGACGTGCTGGCCATAGCAGAGCAGCCCTCTGTTGCCTCTACTATCCTGGGCCCCATTTGTTTGAGGAGGCCTGAACTCTTCCAGTGCCAAGGTGAGGGTCTCACACCCTCTGTCTATGGGGAGCCCCCCGAACACCCCATTCTACACCTAGATTTTGCCCACACTGAGACGAGAAGGTTTGGGCCCTAGATTCCATTGGCTTCAGGACCAGGAACCTCCTGGGTTATCTTGGGCACAAGAGGCCACACCAAAGCTTTCTGACTATTTCCAAGTCCACTTCATTTCCCATGGCCTATCCTGCCCCAACCCCCTCCCGTGAACCTAGGGCCATGGATTAAAGATTAGAGGGCTCCTCATAGACCGCTGGGAGAGGTGGGGCAAGGGGTGGATTCTAAGCAAAACCAGTCTGGGCGCAGTGGCTCATGCCTGTAATGCCAGCACTTTGGGAGGTTGAGGTAGGCAGATCACTTGAGAATAGGAGTTTGAGACCAGCCTGGACATGGTGAAACCCCATCTCCACTCAAAATACAAAAACTAGCTGGGCATGGTGGTGGGTGCCTGTAGTCCCAGCTACTTGGGAGGCTGAGGCAGGAGAATCGCTTGAACCCTGGAGGTGGAAGCTGTAGTGAGCAGAGATCTCACCACTGCACTCCAGCTTGGGCAACAGAGCAAGACTCTGTCTCAGAAAAAAACAAACAAAAAAACTCACTCTTCCTTCTCCTCATCAGAACCGGCTCCCACCACCACTGAGAGACAGAGGGCCCCTCCTCCACCCCAGCCCACGGTGGAGGCTTCCCTACTTGTTTTTTGCAAGTTAACCTTATTTTTCTCTTTTTTTTTTTTTTTTTTTTTTTTTTTTTTGGGTTTTTTTTTTTTCCCCGGCTGGGGTGCGAGGGCGCAATTTCAGCCCCCTGCAACCTCCCCCCCCCAGGTTCACACGATTCTCCTGCCTCAGCCTCGAGTAGCTGGGATTACAGGCGCCCACTACCACACCTGGCTAATTTTTTGCATTTTTAGTAGAGACAGTGTTTCACTATGCTGGCTAGACTGGTCTTGAACTCCTGACCTTGTGATCTGCCCGACTGGGCCTCCCAAAGTGCTGGGATTACATGCATGAGCCACCATGCCTGGCCAATCTTATTTTTCTCATCTGTTAAATGGGGGTAATAATTCCTCCTCAGAGGGTTTTCACTAAAATTCAGTGAGATCCCCACAGATATATATATATATATTTTTGAGATTAAGTCTTGCTCTGTCGCCCAGGCTAGACAGAATACATTGGCATGATCTTGCCTCACTGCACCCTCCGCCTCCCGGGTTCAAGTGATTCTCCCGCCTCAGCCTCCTGAGTAGCTGAGACTAACTAATGCCTGCGACCGTGCCCGGCTAATTTTTGTATTTTGAGTAGAGACGGAGTTTCACCATGTTGGCCAGGCTGGTCTCAAACTCCTGGCCTCAGGTAATCTGCCTGCCTCAGCCTACCAAAGTGTTGGGATTACAGGTGTGAGCCACCTTGCCCAGCCTCCCACAGACTCCTAATTAATGCATTTATGCACCCACACATGCAGTACTCATTAAGCAGCCACTGTGGGACCGTCACTGTGATGCTGCCACCTTCATTAAGGTACTCAAAATGGAGAGTGGTCAACAGCATCCTCACCCCTTCCTGCCATCCTGGTCCTGGCACCCCTCCCAAGGATGTTTCTCTGCCCTCCTCCCACCTCAGCAGCCCTCCTTCCTGGAAGGCATGAAACAGCTTTGTCTGCTCTTTGGGTTTCTAAATTTCCCTTCCTTTCTCTGCCTCCTGTCCTTCCTGTAGCTGTGACTCCCTGACACTGGTATTTCCAGACATCTCTCCTGCTATGTCTCAACCTGCATTCATCTGGCCTCTTCCCCACCTGAAACCTATTTCCAAGTTTCCTCCTCTGTAACCAGCCCCCATCGTCCTGGCCCCTGGCCTCCTGCTGCTTCCTGCCACCTCCAGGTGCTGTCCACACTTCGCTCAAGCCATCCTCCCCCTGCCCAGGTCTCAGTCCCTGCTCAAAGCTTCCTCTTCTCCCACCTCCTTGTGGCCACACCCAGCCCCTCCGGCCCTTTGCTGCACAGCTTTTGAATATACTTTTGTCATCCTCTGGTTTGGAGCTGCCAGCAGACAGCCAGGCCATCCCTTGGGCCCATTCACACAATTCCAAACTAGTCCAGCTTCCTTTAGACACGTCCTGAGACGGAAGCCTCACCACTTCCCAGGAGAGCCTGGCCCTCAGCTGTGCCAGCTCACCCCAGACCCTGCACTGCTGTGGTCTCCAAGCCTGGGATTTCTTGGGATTGCTGCCCTAACTCTGGCTCTCTCCCTTCATCACATATACCCGCAGACCCTTAGCTATAGACTATTTCCTGTCCCCTCAACACCCCTGGGCTTTCTGTGCCCCCTGTGGGAATGCTTTTCCCCAGCTCCAGGACTAGCTCAGCCTCCTCCAGAGTTCAGTGCTCCTGCGCTGCAGCCAGTCTCTAGGCAACGTCCCTCCGTTAAGAGGCAGGGTCCTAGAGGCCAGCAGATCTGGGTTAAAATCTGCCACACGGTTCCCTTGTAGCCTGGGATCAATGACAATCCCTCACTCTCTTCCTTTATGAAGGGGGCAGGGGACAACAGCCATCTCAGGGGCCTGCTGCAGGAAGGAGAGCTTCCATTCTACTTTCGCATCACAGCACCTCTCATTTTCACTCCTGCGCTCCAGTGAGGCCATTGCACAAGGTGGCTCTGAGTGGGGCTCTGGAGCCCAGCTGCCAGGTTTCAACCAAAGTTCCACTGTTCCTACCTCTGTGACCTGGAGCAAATCACTTTACTTCTCTGCTTACTTCTTCATCTGTAAAATGGGATGATGGCACCTACCTTGTTGTAGGGCTCTTGTGAGGCTAAGATGATATTTTATTACAAGGCCTAGCACAGAGTAAGCCTTTGCTAACTGTTGGTGACTTTTTTTTTTTAAAGAGATGGGGCCTTGCTCTGCCACCCTTGACCTCCTGGGCTCAAGCAATCCTCCCTCTTCAGCCTCCTGAGTAGCTGGGGCTGCAGGTAACCACCATCACACCCAGCTAATTTTATTTTTTGTAGAGATGGGGTCTCACTTTGTTGCCCAGACTGGTCTTAAATTCTTGGGCTCCCTCTGTCCTCCAGCCTTGGCCTCCCAAAGGGTTGGGATTACAGGTGTTTGACACTGTGGCTGACCTTGTTGGTGACTTCTATGGTACAATTTTATGTCCTGTTTCCCCAAGGCAAATTTTAAATTCTGCTAGGCTAACGCGCGCCTTAAACCATTTTTCTATCTATTCTGCTTTGGCTGTCTTCAGTACTGAATTTGTCCCCCTTAACCAACTCTCGGATGGACCCAATACACAAAACACATTTTTGAAAATGGAATTGCTGGGGCCAGGTGTAGTGGCTCATGCCTGTAATCCCAGCACTTTGGGAGGCTGAGGCGGGTGGATCATCTGGAGTTCAAGATCAGCCTGGCCAACATGGTAAAACCCCGTCTCTCCTAAAAATACAAAAATTAGCCAGGCATGGCGGCAGGTACCTGTAATCCCAGCTATTCGGGACTCCGAGGCATGAGAATCACTTGAACTTGGGAGGCGGACGTTGCAATGAATCGAGGTCGTGCCACTGCACTCCAGCCTGGGTGACAGAGCGAAACTCTGTCTCAAAAAGAAAAAAGCAAAGAAAATGGAATTGCTCCAAAGTGGGGAGGAGGCACCTTTGCCTTGCCCTGGAGAAATCCCAGGCTTGGAGACCACAGCACTGCAGGGTCTGGGGTGAGCTGGCAGATGCCTGGCCCAGGACCCCATGGCCAGCTGCTACAGCATGTCCTCAGGGCCACCTTCAGGACAGAGACCAAATCCTTGGCTAATTCAACTGAAGTGATGCATGGGCAGGGTTGGGAAAGGGTTCAGGGAGGAAGTGGCTTTTAAGCTGGGTCTTGGTTAGGCAGGGCCACCATGAGGGGGACGGTGAAGAACAAAGGATCGGAGGCAGGAGAGGGCTGGATGGATATGGGGGCCAGAGGCTGGCCATGCTCTTGGCTCATCCCTAACTGCACTCCTAGGGGCGGTGGGGACGGCAGTGGAGGCCCTACTCAGCCCTAACCCCAATCCTACAAGTCCTTTCCAACAAGGACGATGGAAGGGTTTCAATGCTCACCTGCCTCAAGGGGAAAGCTTTGGAATGGGGGATGTAGAATGGCAGGGAATTCCCGACTGAGCAGGGATGGGATATACCTGAGGGATGCTGATGGCTCCAAGCACTGGACACAGACTCAACTATGGCGCAGGCAACCAGACCCTTGTCAAGGGGCAGGGGGTCCCAAGAATACCAAGACACTATGAGCTGAGGGGTAAGGGGGGCCCAGAGAGGGAGAAAACAATGGCAGGGCAGCAACTGGAGCCAAAACTCTTTATTGTCCTGCCCAGGGAGCCCTTCCCAAAGGAATCCAAGGAGCAGGGGTGCGAGGCAGGTGGCACAGGGCCTTGGTGACAATGAGAAAAAAGGAGGAGCTGGAGTCAGGTGGGGGACAGCCCCTCCAGCTCCCTGATGGCACTGGTTGTGCTGGCAGGCCACCCGGGGGGGGGGGCCATCATCAGCATATCTTGGACCCAGGGGAGCCATCACCAGTGTGAGGCCCATACCTGGGGCTGGGGCTGAGCTGTCTACACTGCTCTCTCTACAGGGTCACTCTGGCGCTTGTCACCTCTACTCACCTCTCCAGCTCCAAACTGCAAAGGGAGATGGGCCCAATACTGGGAGGCCCTGGGAGAGTGAAGAGGGAGCTGTATGGGCTGGAGGATGTCAAATGGACACACATGTCCCCTGGGTAGCTGCCAGCAGAAGTCTGACACAGGGGCCCAGCCAGCCCCCCTGGACCATTCTAGAGGCCAGTGGGGAAGGCTCCAGGGCAGCTTCACTTATAGAGACTCCTAAGTGTACCTCACCCTATGCTGGGACCAGAGCTAATGCAGGACAGACTCCCAATCCAGCTCTGGTCCCAGGGCACCTTGTTAGGTGAGCCTAAATGCCCTCCCCTCCCTGTACTGGGTGCCAGGCTGAGGCAGGAGCCCAGCAGGGAGTGACGGGAGCAGCTCTACAGAGGAAAGCCAAAGCCTTTCAACAGAGGAACAAAGAGGGCCTCCAGGGCCAGAGTCACAGGCCTGGGGAGGAAGGGACAGGGTGCTTCTGAGAGGTGCAAACTTCGCCTCATGCTGGTCCTCAACCCTTGCATCCTGCCAGCCCCAACGCCCGGTACACAACAGCAGGCCCAACCCTGCCTTCTGGGGTGAGGAGAAAAAAATCTGGAACCAAAAGGGAATGGCAGCTGTTTCCTCAGGACCTTGGTGGGTGCAGGGCCAATGGACAGCCATCACCGGAGGTTAAAGACCAGACTGACAGTGAGGATGATGCCCAGGAGAAGGATGAAGGGCAGCCAGGTCTTCACGAAAGCCCCGACGCTGACAGAGAGAAAGGAGAGAGCACAGGTGGGTGGGGTCCATTGAGCAGGCGTGGGGCCCAGAGCCCTGTGCACCCATAGACCCCGAAGAGGCTGCAATCCCTAAGGAAAACCCTGTACCCACCCCCTCACCCCAAACTTGGCCAATCAAGGGAGCAGGCTGGGCCTGGTGCCCACTATGGGGGATCAGCAGCTATGGTCCTGGGCAGGGGCTGTTCCACATTCCTGTTGGAGATTTACTGACACCTCACTGGTTGGGAATAGAAGACATGCTCGCTGTTTCTAGGCCTCACTGGCTCTATCTATAGCCACCCACCTCTGGGGTGAAGTCTCCAGCAAGAGGACCAGGAACTGCAGTTTGGGTGTGGAAGCCACGTGTGCCTGCTGCCACAGCCCTCAAAATGGGGACTACTGGGAGGCCTTGGGGCCAGCAAGGGTCAGCAGTGTTGTGGCTGCAGCCAAGCTGCTGGGAGCCAGGGGCCTGGATTCAACCTCTGTGTGACCAGTTATTCTCAGGGGACTTCTAAAAGCCCTGCAGGACTTAAAAATACCCCTAAAAGTCTTCTTTTCAGAAGCTCTGAATGATGAACATGGCTGAGAGGAAAGCTTGGAGAGGCGGCCAGAACAGTACCAGCCTATGCTGGATCATGAGTCTGGGCTCTGCTGTGGCCATGCTGTGGGGACCGTGGGTGACTCACTCAACCTCTCTGCCTGGGAAGGGACCTGTGGGGGCAGTCATTCTGTGAGGATCTATCTGTTCGCTTCACTGGAGCACAGGAATCTGTAGAAGCTTCCCTGAGGAGCCAGAATCATTGCCTGCATTTCACCAAGGACAGCTGTTGCTCAGAGAGGCCAAGGCAGCCACCCACAGTCTCACAGCGGGCAGGTGACAGAGCTGCACCTGGGGCCCAGGTGGAGCTGGACCAGCACAGCCACCTCCCTCTCCACCAGGCCCTCAGCTCGCCACTCTAGAGCCACCACGGCTCCAACTGGCATCTATTCCAGCTGTCCCAGCTGACTGAAGGGTGTCAGGAATGGTCTTTCTAGGATCCTTGGAAGAGCAGCCCCTGGGCAGCATGTAGGTGGGCGGGCAAGAGGGCAGCTCACCTGACGTACTTCCCATAGAGCAGGCAGAAGAAGCAGAGTGTCACCATGTTCCAGTTGGTGCTATTGTTGTAGCGCATCAGATTCAGGGCCAATGCCACGTGCGAGTGGCAGTTGTCACAGCAGAGATTGTGCTGGAGGCACCGGAAGGGCTAGTCAGGCCAAGCTGTTGGGGAGCCTCCTCCCTGGTCCCCGCCTGGGGAGTGCTGGTGCCACCCCAGTCCACCTACCATGCGGTGCTTGTACTCCTCGGAGGCGTCGTGCACAGCCGTGTCCCATGCGTTGGGCCCGCTAGCATAGACCTGAGCAGGGTCCAACTTCCAGTACCTGGGGGGAGAAAAGGGCTCTGGACGCTGGCTCAGCTCCCTTGTGCCCTCGGCTCTAAGCATGACCTTTGAGGCCTGCCCTGTGCCTGGGCCCGAGCTGGGTGTCAAGGTGTGCAGGGAGCCAGATCTGGGGCAAGTGTTGTGTAGCACACAACTGTGACACAGGGTGAGGTGCTTGGTGCCACGGGGGATCCTGAAAGCTCTGAAAGTCTGTGTCCCTGTCAAGTTCATATGTTGAAATATTACCCCCTAAGGTGATGATGTTATGAGGAGGTGGGGCCTTTGGGAGGTGATTAGGTCATGGGGTGATTAGGACCAAGAGGGTGATTAGCCCTCATGAATGGGAACAGTGTCCTTATAAAAGAGGCCCGAGGGAGACCTCTCACCGCCTACACCATTTGGGGACACAGTGGGAAGGCACCTCAGGCCCTCGCTAGACACTGACTCTACCAGCACCTGCACTAGGATTGTCCAGTCTTCAGAACTGTGAGATACATTTCTGTTGTTTCTAAAATACCCAGTCGATGACATTTTGTTATGGCAGCCAAAACGGACTAAGAAGGGGTGTGAGAAGGCTTCCTGGAGGTGACACCTGGGTCTGGTCTGAAGGAAGAGGGTTAGACAGGCATAGAAAGAAGAGTTGTGAATTCCAAGCTGAGGGAACAACTTAAAGTGAGAGGCATAAAACTGTGCAGTGTGTCCCAGAACAGAAGTGATTGAGCCCTCCTGGCGACTGTGGAAGGAGAAACACGGTAATGGAATGCTGGCAGCGGAGGCTGGCGATGCAGGTGGGGCCACATCACACGAGGAGTTTACTCAGCAGCAAGCACTCTCCCCCAGTCTCCCATGTAGCTTGCCAGGCTGAATGAGAGGGAAGCTGATGGCACTAAAGCCCATAAACCTGAAGGTGGGTGAGAACTGCTGTTCCAAGCAACAGAGTGCCCGGTGGGTCTCAGGCCTGGGAGAGCTGGGAGGTCTGGGTGCCCCCTGGCTGCCGTGTAGGGAAATGGCTTGGTGGAGGAGTCTAGAGACCATGGGGCCATTTAGGGGCTACAGCTTGGAAAATGGTGCCATTAAAAATGTCCTTGAAAAGCAGCCTGGCAATGAACACCTGGTGGCCCAGAGACTCCTGGACTACACTGCCACCTGCCTGAGGAAGCTCTGTTCCAGGGCATCTCGGCTGTGTGGGAAACCAACTCCTCCTCGGCCTAGTCCTTCCTCCAGTGCAGCCTTGGGCAACAGGTCACCTGAGGACACTGATGACTGAGGCACCGTCACCAGGCCCACAGCTGAAGTGGGCACCCAGGCTGTAAAGATGAAGACCAAACATCCCAAACCAAACCAGCAATAGCTCCCAGCGGGCTTAACTGTTTTTATTCTCTCTAACTACCACTTTCCAGCAGAGGTCCAAACAATGCCACTCCTCTACCTTCCACAGCTCACTTGCTCCCAAAGGGCAGGAAAGTGAGTCTGGAGGGAGATAGACCTGAGTGTGAGTCCCAGTTCTGCCACTTCCTAACTGTGTGACCCTGACCAAGTCCCTTTCCTTTCCTCACCCCTGCCATAGAGTTGAAAGCACAAACCTGAAGAGCTGTGGCAAGGCCCAGAAGGTCTATGAGTAAAGGTCCTAGCCAGGGGCTGGTGCAGTAGATGCTCTGTATGGGGCTGCCATGCTCTGGTGGACCCTGGCTGTCCCTCCCCCAGTACTCTATCCTCAGCATGCTGGCTCCTGCTGTGCTCTAGAAGGCCTGGGCTGCTGGGGCAGCAGCAACCTGCCTCTAGGGCCAGTCACATGGGTGTTCATCACTTACTTGGCAGGCTTTCCAAAGGCCATGTTGTCCTCCTGTTGAGGGACAAGAGCAGAGGTCAGTGAGGAACTTATATTCAGGCCAGGGGACAAACCTGGGTTGGCTGCTGAAGTGCAGTGACTTAGAATAGGGAATGTCAGGGGTGGTCACAAGTGGGGCCTGGGCCCTGCCCCAAGGCTGGCATAGCATTTAAAGAGCCAGTGGCTTTTCTGCAGGAAGAAGGCAGTGTGGCACAAGTGCATAGAGCACTGCATCAGAGACCAAAGACTTGGGGCTCCAGCTGCCACTGCCCAATTCAGCCACTGCCCAATTCAGCCACTGCCCAATTCAGCCACTGCCCCTCGGTGTGGCACCCAGGAATTCTCTTGCTCTCTCTGGGCCTCATTTTCTCCAAGTTTTGTGATCAGTCTTCTCTGATCTCTGAGGAGCAGCAGAAAGTTTCCATCATGGTCTGGTCTTCCGACTCAACAGTGGTGGCCCATATGAAGCCCATCTCCGTGCCCAGCAGTCTGACTGCATTCAGAGCAGGGAGGGGACACTGGGCCCAGAGGGGCTTCCTGTGAGGGAGACACTGCAGTGAAGTCCTAGACTCATCAAATTAGACCTGGGGTACAGGAGTTACACAGAGACAGACTCTGGGTTCAGATCAGGGAGACCCTGCTGACAGACCTGGTCAAAGATTAATTACCATAAAAATATATGACAAAAGTAATGGATGTGAAAGTATTTTTAAGTGCAAAGTGACAGGCCTTTGTCATGTTAAGATGATCATGACAACTATTAATATAAACAGGTTGGTGCTACCACACCCCTTCAGTCCAGCCTCTGACAGCTGGGAACAGCAGGATGATGCATGCTCCTCTGCGACTAGCCCACTGGACCAGTCTTGGTCACATCCCCAGGGAACAGACCAGAGAACACAGCTGGTTCATTCTAAAGCCCCACCCCCTCTTCTCCGTGGCCACACCCAGGGAACCGGATCAGCCTCCCCTGTCCCCCCACCTTGACTCCCACCTTCTGAAGGTCCAGAGATGTGGTTCCTGGATGGTCTGACTCTCCACTCTTGCCTCTAATCCCTACCCATGTCTTGGTACCCCAGGGGTGGGGACAAAGGGCTGGGTCAGTTACTTAAGAATCCTTCTGGCCACACTGCCCTCCCGGCCTGTCCTGGAGGCAAGAGAAGGGGGAAAGGGGTCAAACACTGGTGAGGGAGGGGCAGAGGGCCAGGGCCAGGACTGTGGGTTATCTTCATTCTGCTTGGTCTGGGGAGACAGGAAGCCTGCCTGCAGGCAAGACAGGACAGCCTTCCACTTAAACCTTGGAACCCTCCAGGGGAGCACAATCGGGACTCACCGAGACAAAGTAGGGGCCTGCGAAGTCCCGAATGACTCCTGTGGATGTGCAGATGCCCATGTGCCCGATGATGGGGAAAAACCACCTGTGAGGAAAAGGACAGGGAAGGGACAGAGCTTAGGGGATCTTTCAGCCAGTCAGACGCTGGGACACTTCATCCACTGTGGAAGCATGTGACTATTACGTTGTGTGGTAAGTGGCCATTAGGGTGGTCCAGAGGGCTGGGGAAGCACAACAAGAGCAACTGCAAACTGACAGCACAATGGGATGCCATGGCCTCCCGCCGGGATGGCTACAATTCAAACCAGCAACACTGATGCAGGTGAGGGCCAAGGGCAACCAGAACTCTTATTCACTGCTGGTGGGAGGATGAATTGTTTCTACCATTTCACTTTCGAGACGCAGTCTCGCTCTCTCGCCCTGGCTGAAGTGCAGTGGTACAATCTTGGCTCACTGTAACCTCTGCTTTCTAGGTTCAAGTGATTCTCCCGCCTCACCCTCTTGAGTAGCTAGGATTATAAGCACCCAACACCACAGCCAGCTAATTTTTCTATTTTTATAGAGAAGGTTTCATCATGTTGGCCTGGCTGGTCTCAAACTCCTGACTTCAAGTGATCTGCCGGCCTCGGCCTCCCAAAGTGCTGGGATTACAGGCGTGAGCCACCGCGTCTGGCCTGTTTCTACCATTTTGGAAAACAGTTTGGCACTATACTCTATGCCTCAGCACTTTCACTTTTGGAAACTTCTTTGCCCTCACCCCTGGGAAACATTTGCCAAAACTCATTGAACTGTACTTTTTTTTTTTCTTTTTGAGACGGAGTCTCACTCTGTAGCCCAGGCTGGTGTGCTGTGGCATGACCTTGGCTCGCTGCACTCACTGCAACCTCTGCCTCCCGGGTCCTGGTTCAAGCAATTCTCTTGCCTCCGCCTCCTGAGTAGCTGGGTTTGTAGGCACATGCTACCACGCCTGGCTAATTTTTGTATTTTTTAGTAGAGATGGGGTTTCACCATGTTGTCCAGACTGGTCTTGAACTCCTGACCTCGTGATCTGCCCGACTCAGCCTCCCAAAGTGCTGGGATTACAGGCTTGGGCCACGACGCCTGGCCTGAACTGTACTCTTAAAATGCATGCATTTTATTGTATGTAAACTATAATTCAATAACACTGATAAAAACAACTAGAAATAACCCAAAAGTCCCACAAAAGTGCAATGAATAACTGTGGTATAGTTATACAATGAAATAGTACTTAACAATGAAAGAGTGTAGCTTCCGCTACACAACAGGCTTTCACAGACATAAGGGTGAGTGAAGGAAATCTTACAGAGTACATAACATAGCACTCTGTTTATAAGAAGTCCAAGAAAAGGCAAAACTATGGCTAGAGGTCCACAGCGGGTGGTATCTGCGGTAAAACTGACTGGGAGAGCACAAGGGAGTCCTCTGGGTCTTGGCAATGCTTTCTGTCCTGTCTGAGTGGTGGTTCCATGAGTGTGTGAATATGCAAAAATTCTCTCAGCTGTATACTTGAGATTTGTGCACCTTTTGGTACATAAGTTATACCTCAATAAGAAAGTTAAAAAAAAAAAAACAAAACAGGCTGGGCGCGGTGGCTCAAGCCTGTAATCCCAGCACTTTGGGAGGCCGAGGTGGGTGGATCACGAGGTCAATAGATCGAGACCATCCTGGTCAACATGGTGAAACCCTGTCTCTACTAAAAATACAAAACATTAGCTGGGCATGGTGGCGCATGCCTGTAATCCCAGCTACTCAGGTTGAAGCAGGAGAATTGCCTGAACCCAGGAGGCGGAAGTTGTGGTGAGCCGAAGATCACACCATTGCACTCCAGCCTGGGTAACAAAAGTGAAACTCCGTCTCAAAAACAAACAAACAAAACAAACAAACAAACAAACAAACAAAAAACAGGTGGGCAGACATGACGCCAGTCTGGGTGGGGGAGTTCATGAAAGGTTTCCCTGAGGAAATGAAGAAACAGTACGTGTAAGGGTAGAAACTGGAACAGAAGCATGGTGAATGCCAGGAAATAAAAGTTCTTCTTTTTTTTGAAGTTTCGCTCTTGTTGTCCAGGCTGGAGTGCAATGACGTGATCTCGGCTCACCACAACCTCTACCTCCTGGGTTCAAGCGATTCTCCTGCCTCAGCCTCCCAAGTAGCAGGGATTACAGGCACGCACCAACACACCTGGCTTATTTTGTATTTTTAATAGAGATGGGGTTTCACCATGTTGGTCAGGCTGGTCTTGAATTCCTGACCTCAGGTGATCTGACCACCTTGGCCTCCCAAAGTGTTGAGATTACAGGCATGAGCCAATACACCCGGCCAAAAGTTCATTTTTTAAAAAGTCATGGGCATTAAAAAACAACAAGAAGTCTAGATGCACCCCAATATGCCACACATAGAAACCCCAGACCTGTCTGCATTCTGAGAACCATGGCCCTACAGGACCTGGGTGCTGGAGACACTGATCCAGTTTAAGGATTCACAGGGCCAGCGGCCAGGTCCTGGTCTCAGTGCTGCCTGGGCACAAGCACAAAGCACCTGGCTAGGGGTGCAGTTGTGCACCCCTAGCCAGGTGCAACTCCAGAGATGCAGTTCAAGGAAGCAGTTACAGGGGGTTGGTGTGGAATCAGTAAAGACTTCACAGAAGAGGGGACTTTTTTTTTTTTTTTTGATACGGAGTCTTGCTCTGTCACCAGGCTGGAGTGCAGTGGTGCCATCTCAGCTCATTGCAACCTTCACCTCCTAGGTTCAAGCAATTCTCCTGCTTCAGCCTCCCAAGTAGCTGGGATTACAGGCGCCCACCACCACGCCCAGATAATTTTTTTGTATTTTTAGTAGAGACGGGGTTTCACCATGTGGGCTAGGCTGGTCTCAAATGAGTAGCTAGAATTATAGGTATCCACCACCACACCCAGCTAATTTTTATATTTTTATAGAGAAGAGGTTTCATCATGTTGGCCAGGCTGGTCTCAAACTCCTGACCTCAAGTGATCTGCCCGCCTCGGCCTCCCAAAGTGCTGGGATTATAAGCATGAGCCACCATGCCTGGCCTGTTTCTACCATTTTGGAAAACAGTTTGGTACTAAACTCTAGTCTCAGCAGTTTCACTTTTGGAACCCTCTTTGGCCTCATCCCTGGGAAACATTTGCCAAAACTCATTGAAATGTGTACTTTTTTTTCTTTTTGAGATGGAGTCTCACTCTGTAGCCCAGGCTGGAGTGCTGTGGCACGATCTTGGCTCACTGCAACCTCCTCCTCCTCCTGGGTCCCAGTTCAAGCAATTCTCTTGCCTCAGCCTCCTGAGTTGCTGGGATTACAGGCACGTGCTATCACGCCCAGCTAATTTTTGTATTTTTAGTAGAAACCGGGTTTCACCATATTGGTCAGACTGGTCTTGAACTCCTGACCTTGTGATCTGCCCACCTCAGCCTCCCAAACCTTGACCTGTGAAAGGACAGAACATCAACAGGCAGAAAACAACATCACAGAGTTGTTTTTAGTAGAGAAGGGTTTTCGTCATGTTGGCCAGACTGGTCTCAAACTCCCAACCTCAAGTGATCTGCCCGGAAAGTGTGGCATGTGTCTGAAAGAATAGACAGGAAAGTGTGGCATGTGTCTGGAAGAATGAAAGAGGGAGAGGCCAGTTCAGGGGCTACTGCTGTACCACTGGCAAGAGATGACAGAGGTCCTGACTAGAGTATCGGGCAGGGTGGTGAGACGCACATGGATAGAGAGTTTATGACAAGATGGGGTCTTCCAGGTCTACGGCCTGAGCACTTAAGAGGATGGTAGGGCCAGAGTGGTCTTTTGAGAACTGACTTCAGATTCCATCATCCCCCTGCTCAACACCCATGAATGGCTTCCTACTGCACTTATAATACAGTTCAAACTTCTTCCAACAGTGTGGCGCTAATCATCCCTTGAACCTCATTTCACTCCCCTCTCTAGCTACAATGCCTGCTTGTGGTTCCTCAAACATCCCAATCCTCCCACCCCATGCTTTCTCTGTATTTGTCATTTTCTCTCTCTGGAACATTCTTCCCCGAGAGCATGGCACAGCTGACTCCTCACTGATTAGGCCTCAGTCTCACTGTCAACTTCAGGGGTCTTGCCTGAATGGTGTCTTCCAGTGCAGCCACCCAATCCCAGATCCCACTACAATGTTTTTCTTTCCTCATAGTATCTGCTACTATCCAAAATTATCTAGGTTACTCACATGCTGTCTCTCCACTAGAACATAAGCTCCCAGAGAGCAAGCATTTTTGTCTTGTTTATTATGGCAGTGCCTGGCATACAGCTGCAACTCAATAAATATTTGTTGACTAAACAATGAATGGGGCCAGGCACGGTGGCTCATGCCTCTAATCCCAGCACTTTGGGAGGCTGAGGCAGGCAGATCATGAGGTCAGGAATTCAAGGCCAGCCTGGCCAACATGGCAAAACTCTATCTCTACTAAAAATTAAAAAAAAAAAAAATTAGCCAGGTGTGGTGGCAGGCACCTGTAATCCCAGCTACTTAGGAGGCTGAGGCAGGTGAATCATTTGAACCTGGGAGATGGAGGTTGCAGCGAGCCGAGATCATGCCATTGCACTCCAGCCTGGGTGACAAGAGCAAGACCTTGTCTCAAAAAATAATAATACTAATAATAAAAATAGGCTAGGTGCGGTAGCTCACACCTGTAATCCCAGCACTTTGGGAGGCCAAGGCGGGTGGATCACCTGAGGTTAGGAGTTTGAGACCAGCCTGACCAACATGGAGAACCCCTGTCTATCCTAAAAATACAAAATTAGCCAGGCATGGTGGCACATGCCTGTAATCCTAGCTACTTGGGAGGCTGAGCCAGGAGAATCGCTTGAACCTGGGAGGCAGAGGTTGTGGTGAGCCAAGATCGTGCCATTGCACTCCAGCCTGAGCAACAAAAGTGAAACTCCATCTAGAAAAATTAAAATTTAAAATCACAAACAAACCCCAAGAGAGAAGTCAGGCTCAGTTATCATCTGGGTTGAGGCTTGCCTTTGTTTTGGGTAAATTACTCAATCCCATCTCTCTGTGGATAGTAAAAATTACCTAAAAGGGGAGCTATTGTGAGAAATTAAATGGATAGACTTACACAGTGCCTACGACCCTGCCTTCTGCTTGACAGCTGCTCAATGTTGTCATCTTGAGGTATTCAATACATAAGCACTATCTGACTGACTGCACTAACATAGAATAAGTTGCAGAAAATCCATAGGCCGCGGGATGGACACTCAGGATTATAGGAAAGTAGCTCATCCTGATCTCAGGTCTGTCCTCCCCTCACCATCTCTGCCCCCATTCCTTTCATCTACCTGGGAGGAAGTCCAGGTTCCACCAGGATTCCACACACCACAGCTGTGCTGGCAACTGCTGATGGAAATCAGAGTAAAGGCTGGAACCCTGGAGAAAAAACCCTCAAAGTGGTTTGTCAGCCTGGAAGCACCACGAAGGCAGCCTCCAGAGCTACTTTATGGACTACCTTCTATTCAGGATCTGGTACATAATAGGTGATTTATAAAGATTTACTAAATGAAGGCCGGGTGCGGTGGCTCACGTCTATAATCCCAGCCCTTTGGGAGGCTGAGGCGGGTGGATCACGAGGTCAAGAGATCGAGACCATCCTGATCAACATGGTGAAACCCCGTCTCTACCAAAAATACAAAAATTAGCTGGGCATGGTGGTGCATGCCTGTAGTCCCAGCTACTCGGGAGGGTGAGGCAGGAGAATTGCTTGAACCCAGGAGGTGGAGGTTGCGGTGAGCCGAGATTGCGCCATTGCACTCCAGCCTGGGTAACAAGAGCGAAACTCCGTCTCAAAAAAAAAAAAAAAAAAAATTTACTAAATGAATACATGACTCACTAACCCTGGAGCTCAATCTGGGAAGATAGGCTAATTCAGCAAAAAAGCCCCACGCTGGCTTCTAAGCCTTATCTCCTCATCTATAAAATGGGGACAACAGTACCTATTTTAATAGCCTGATGTAAGGATTGAGAGAACATACAATGTTTAGGACAGAGTAAGCATCTAATCTTAGCTGTTTTTATTAGACGCAGCGGCTATTAAACTGGTTTTTCATGCAGAATTACCAACATCTCTGAGGGGTAGACAGATTGTTGGGTTCCATTTCCTCCTCTGATCTCTCCTCCAAAGACAGGTGACAGTTCTTTGTGCCACATCTATGCCTAGCTCACAATGATCACTATACAGTAATACTACGATGGCTAATTAACCTTTCTCTCCCTCCTACTGGAGGTGAGTCCTTTTTTTTTTTTTTTTTTAAAAAAGATGGGGTTTCACCATGATGGCCAGGCTGGTCTTGAACTCCTGACCTCAGGTGATCCACCCACCTCAGCCTCCCAAAGTGCTAGGATTACAGGCGTGAGCCACCACGCCCGGCTCGGAGGTGAGTCCTTTAGAAGTGACATGGTTTGGATCTGTCCCCACCAAATCTCCTGTACAGTTCTCACATTGCAGGTGAGGCCTGGTGGTGGGATCAGAAGGATGGCTTTCACATAAATGGTTTGGCACCATCCCCTTGGTGCTATGCTCGTGTTAGTGAATTTTCCCAAGATCTGGTTCTGGCATCTCCCCCTTCACTCCGTCGTGCTCCTGCTCCCGCCATGTGAGATGCCTCGCTCCCGATTTGCCTTACACCACAACTGGAAGCTTCCTGAGGTCTCCCCAGAAGCAGAAGCCGCTATGCTTCCTGTATATCCTGCAGAAGCATGAGCCAATTAAACCTTTTTTCTTTTTTTCATTACCCAGTCTCAAGTATTAGTGCAAGAACCGACTAATACAGAAGGGGACATGAACCCTTTGACAGGAACACAGTGTCTTATTCATCTTGGTCTTATGAACACCTGCACACAGATCTGAATAGAAATGGGCTATGCTTTTGACCCAGTAGACCAAGGATTGTGGTGTCTCCACCTCACGCTGCTACCATTCTCTACAGAGGACCATGCCACAAATGGTGTTTTTGAGAATAAGAAAGGCCAAAGAGATTTTAGGATCACCAGACAGGTTTTAAGAAAACAAATACATTTTCTGAGTATTCCTCCTTATTACTTTCACATTAATAGTTTATTTTCGTCACAGCACTAATCACTATCAGGTGCTCTTTTATTAGTTTGTTTACTGTCTAGCTACTTCCATCGTAACTTAAACTCTCAAAAGTGTAAAGACCATGTCTGCTTTATTCATCACTGTACTGCATCATCTAGAACTATCTGGAACACAGGGATCACTTAGCACATGTGTTAAAAGAACACTGAATGAATGTACACATTTTCTTAAGAGTTTATTTCATTATTTATTTATTTTTAATTAATTTTTTTTTTTTTTTGAGGCAGAGTCTCACCGTGTTGCCCAGACTGGAGTGCAGTGGTGCAATCCTGGCTCACTACAAACTCCACTTCCCAGGTTCAAGTGATTCTCCTGCCTCAGCTTCTGGAGTAGCTGGGATTACAGGCATGCACCACTATGCTCAGCTAATTTTTTAAATTTTAGTAGAGACAGGGTTTCACCATGTTGGCCACACTGGTCTTGAACTCCTGATCCACCCACCTCTGCCTCCCAAAGTGCTGGGATTACAGGCACGAGCCACCAGGTCCGGCCCAAGATTTTATTTTTAAAGAACAGATTTTGATGCTCTTATATGTGTAAGTATTTGAAAACACAAAATAATTCAAGTATTTTAACATAATTCAAAAACTATGGTCATTTTAGAATAGGCAACACCTAAGGCCCTAAATGATCCCTTCTCCAAACCACCACTTGGCTATTGTTGATAGGGGAACAAGCTGTCCCATCAGGTAAGAGTGGATAAGATGTAGTGCAAAGAGCAAGTTAGATCAGAAGACTTGAGTTCTTCATGCCTTTGCTTACTGGGGTGCGAACCTGATCAAGACATTTAATGCTACAAGCAGCTCCGCTTCACCATCTGAGAAGATAACCTACCTTAGAAAATGGTTATGACAGCACTTTGGGAGGCCGAGGCAGTCGATCACGAGGTCAAGAGATGGAGACCATTCTGGCCAACATGGTGAAACCCCGTCTCTACTAAAATACAAACATTAGCTGGGCGTGTTGGCAGATGCCTGCAGTCCCAGCTAGGAGGAAGGCTGAGGCAGAATTGCTTGAACCCGAGAGACAGAGGTTGCAGTGAGCCAAGACCGCACCACTGCACTCCGACCTGGAGCTTGGCGACAGAGAGAGACTCTGTCTCAAAAAAAAAAAAAAAAAAAAAAGAAAAGAAAAAGAAAATGGATATGAAATTCTGAGATAATGGGTGTTTAAGAGCTTGGCAAACTGTCCAGCACGGTGAGGAGGGGTTACATTTATCAGCTGTCAAGGCTTAAGCAGGAGGGCAAACCACCTCTCTCATTTGAGAGCTCCTCCCAAAAGGAGGCAAGCAATACCAGAGCACCTGCTTCTCCCCTGACAAAGACTGATGTTATAGAAAGAACTTTGGTCTGGGAGGCAGACAAGCTGGAATCTAAACCCACTTTGCAACTGAGACGGCACGTGAGACAAAGAGTTGGACTCTCAGATCTCTGGGGGCCCTTTCAATGTTGACATCCCAGGATGTCGTATGGTGCCAACCAAACTCCCATTCTTGCTCCCAGACCCAGCAGAATGTCTTAAATATAGCAAGCGACCAATAAGCATTTGCTCAATGAGTTAATAAATCAGTGAATGAATAAAACTGTCTCCTCAGATCCAATGAGGGGCTCCCTCTTCTGCACTCATAGCTTCCGCCTCTCAGCCACTTGCCCCTCCCTGCTGGCTTACAACTCTCTTCTCTTTCTCCCCGACTACACCAGGTGTATTGAGAGCAGGGAGCGTGACCCAACCGTCTGCAGAAACTGGCACCGCATGGACGGCGGGGTTCGGTGACTTGGCGAGGCGTGCGGGCCAGACCCGAGGAAAAGGCTTGCTGCGTGTCGGGGCCGGAGGCTAGCCCGGGCCCGCCGTGCGGACTCAGGCGCTCCCTGGGCCCTCTTCGTCCCCAGGTGGATGCCGGAGGAGACTCACGTGAGCACCGGGATGGGCGTCCACACAACGCAGTACGGGAAACGGCTCCGTTCCACGTCCATGGCGACGCCGCCAGAGCCGTGGTACTGCTTCATGTCCTTCTCGGCCGCCGTCGGCGCCTCCACTTCCGCCATCCCGGGCGGGGGTGGCGGCGGCGGCGGCGGCAACAAGAAAGGAGAACTCCCTTCCGCTTCCGCCATGCTGCGCGCGCCCTGCTCCGACTGGCCCCGGCTCTTGCGCCGCTGGTTCCCATGGCGTCACTTCCTGGAGATGGGGTCCGCCCCGCTTGGCCTTCCCCCGGGAATCCGAGCCGCGTCCCTCTGGGCCCGGCCAGCCCCGCCCCACTCCTGCGCCTGCCGGCCCTGAGGCTTTGCGGGTTGGCTCCGCGGCTGACCTCAGGCAGCTCTCAGTCTAGCGCCGGAGACCTGCAAAGAACTCTGTAATTCAGTACTCTGAGGGCTCCTAGGTGATGTGGTACAGTCGCTATTTATTGAGCACTTCGTAGGTGCTAAGCACTTGATATGCATTGTTTCTAATCCCCATAAACTGATTAGACATCCAAATTAAATATTTCCCTCCTGTCACAAGTGAGAAACTGAGGCTCAAGAGGTGAGATGAGAGGCCACGATTCAAACCCAAGTCTTTATACCTCCCTTGCCCTTTTCATTCTGTGGCCTCTCACGAGGTAGTGGTAGCATAAAGGAAAGAGAGACTACAATTGTGTGCGTGCATGTATGTGTGTGTGTATTGTACATACAGGGAAGACTTGCTGGAAGATAGGATATTTGAGCTGTCTTGATGTTTGCCATGTGTGTGGCACAGGAGTGGGGGTATGGGTGCAGCGGTGCAAAGAAAGGAAGGCCGTGCAGCGTACTGTGTGCAAATGTGAATACTTACTGGAGTAAATCATAAGGCTTAGATGTGATCCGAACCTTTCATTGTACAAATGGGAAAACGGGCTCAGGGAAGTTAATTGTTTGAGGTCACATACAACTATACTTACAGAGAAGCCAGGCTCAAATGTTGGAGCCTTCTGGCTTTTTTTTTTTTTTTTTTTTGAGACAGAGTCTCGCTCTGTCGCCAGGCGCCAGGCTTGAGTGCAGTGGCACGATCTTGGCTCACTGCAATCTCTGCCTTCCGGAGTCAAGCAATTCTCCTGCCTCAGCCTCCCCGAGTAGCTGGGACTACAGGCGCGCGCCACCGCGCCCAGCTAATTGTATTTTTTAGTAGAGACAGGGTTTCACCATGGTCTCCATCTCTTGACCTCGTGATCCGCCCGCCTAGGCCTCCCAAAGTGCTGGGGTTACAGGCGTGAATCACCATGCCCAGCCAGCCTTCTGGCCTTTTATTTATTTATTTATTTATTTATTTATTTACAGGAGAAAGAGGTTTAATGGACTCACAGCTCCCTTCTGGCCTTTTAAAGGAGGCCAAGACAGACAAAGGAAATGAAGCCTACTGGAGTGGGGGAGGGGAAGTAGGGGACAGCCCAAAATCAAAAAGAGAGAAGGCTGCCACTAAAAGTCAGGCTTAAAGAAAAAAAAAAAAGAATAAAAAGAGTAATCAGGTAAAGGAAGGTATGGACAAATGCACTCAGGAAGTTAGGAGCTTCCCATTTGGGAAAGGTCCTTCTTCCATTGAATTGCCCTCCCTCAATGCTGATCTATGGAGAGCTTGTTGTCCTGTTTTTAAGCACCTAATATTTTCATGTTTTTTTTTGTGAGGGATATCTGTCTCTGCTATGGAACTCTGAGGTCCTTGACTTCAGTATAGCTGGCACAGTTCCTGGTGTAGAGCATATGCCCACTAGATGTTTACTGATTTATTGAATGATTAAATAAATGGATGTTTTATAAAGACCTCCCAAATTCACAGGCGTGATAATGATTACAGTGGATTAGGAAATGATTTTAGGTTTGGGTGTATGTCGGGGGAGGGATAGCTCTGAAACCTATCAGTCCTGTCAAAATTCTTTGAGCACATTTGTACCTCGCCTGTGACCTCTGTGCAGTGTGCGATCCTTGAAGGGCAACAACCAGCATCCAGCACAGGGTTTGGAATAGATTAGGTGTGTATTTTACAGTTGTTGAGAATAAATTACATTACTTCTTGATTCAATCACTGTAGTTATCTAGTCTCTTCTGGACCACAGGCCGTGAGTAAGGTCTGTGCCTTAGACTTCTCTCTACCATGGCTGTCAACCCATAATTCTAGCACAGGGTTGCTGGGTGCCCTTTAAACATTTATTAGGCCGGGCGTGGTGGCTCAAACCTGTAATCCCAGCACTTTGGGAGGCCGAGGCGGGTGGATCACAAGGTCAAGAGATCGAGACCATCCTGGTCAACATGGTGAAACCCCGTCTCTACTAAAAATACAAAACATTAGCTGGGCATGGTGGTGTGTGCCTGTAATCCCAGCTACTCAGGAGGCTGGGGCAGGAGAATTGCCTGAACCCAGGAGGCGGAGGTTGCGGTGAGCCGAGATCGCGCCATTGCACTCCAGCCTGGGTAACAAGAGCGAAACTCCGTCTCAAAAAAAAAAAAAAAAAAACATTTATTATAGGTACTGATGAATAAACAACCAAAGTCAGTCTTTCAGGGCGTGCCACAAATTTGGTAGTACTAATACACATACTACATTTAATCTGCCAACCTCCAATGGCTTCCCATTGCACAAATATCTTATCATGGCTCACAAAACCCTGCACCATCTGGACCACGCCCCTTCTTTATTACACTGTAGCCATCCTGGCCTTTTTTTCAGTTCTGCTCATGCACTTCTTCATATTTCAGGGACTTGGCACAACACTGTTCCGCTCTGCCTGAAATACGACTCCTAACTTAAAGTAGCTAACTTTCATTCATTCTTCCAGTCTCAGATCAAATATTACTTTCTCAGAGAGCTCATCCCTGGCCTCCCAGTCTAAATGAGAAAGTCCCTGTTAATCTCCTGCTGTCTTTCTTCATAGCTTCTTTGTAGCTATGTACTATTTGCCTCCCCCACTAGACTAGAAACTCTTTGAAGGTAGACTATATTTGTCTTGCTCACAAGTGTAAACCCAATGCCCAGTATAGTGCCTAGCACATGGTATTTGTTTAATCAATATTTGTTAAAAGAAATGAAAAGTAAATACTTATAGGCTTGGTATCATGCTGGTTACGGTGTGAAAGCAGGAACCTAGTTTGTTACCTGCTACCTCTTGGTGTCCCGAGCCTTTTTAATGGGCTTAGGTTGATGGGCACAGTGCTCAGGCAGAGGGTCAGACCAGAGAGCTCTGGCTCCCTTTCCTAAGGTCCACATCATCCTATTCTTGGTCTAGTCAGCTGCGGAAACAGGGGCATGAGGAGGGCCAGGTACCTGGAGGTAGAAGCCAGTTCCTCTGGGACCTGTCTCCCAGGCTTGCCCCTCACCACAACCCATTCACAAGACCTTTTTAAAAAATAATAATAATGGATTTATCCCTGCAGAACACCCCTTCTCACATATACACCTTGGTCCTCTCACCCAGTGTAAGAGTCTCCCTGGCCTGTGCCCTGGACTCCTCTGCTGTTGCTTCCTTATCACCCATAGACAGATGGGACATCTCTGTCAAAGATTAACATTTCCTTCCAGGCTCACAGGATCACAGCAGGGTCCTGGAGGAAGCTCCTGTTATGGTTGAGCTTGGGACAGGATTGATAGGTTTCAGAGCTATCCCTCCCCCAACACACACCCCAACCTAAAATAGGAATGACCATCTGGATCCACTTATGGGTTTGGCTAGGGAGGGAAGCATGCCAGAGCTGAAACTGTCAAGCTGGGAAACCTTTGAGGGTAAGATGCTGCTTGTTTGAAGGGTGAGCTTGGGGCACTTCCTCTCTTGGTGGGAGTCAGAGCACTCCCTCAATTGGCCCCATGTGTAAGTTCCCAGGACTCACAAATCTCCTCTCTCAGGCTATCTCACTCCTGGCATTCAAGGCCCCTTATGGTGCCCTCAAATCTTTCCAGCCTCATTTCTCACAGTCTCCTTGGGGACTTGGTGGAATTAGCCTCACTGGCCTGTTTGCCCTTCACAGAACGAGCCCTGTGCTTCATACCTCGTGTTTGCTCACACCGTTCCCTCATCAGGGATGTCCTTCCTCTCCTCTTCTACACTACTTTCAAGGTTTCAGGCAAATGCTCCCTCTTTGCTCCCAGAGCACGAAGGCTGTGTTTCCACCTATTGAATATTCATGTGTACTTGCATTAGCATTAGCTGTTTACATGTCTGTTGCTCCCAAGAGACTGTGAACTCCTTGAGAAGGGGACTGACTGGATCTATTGGTCCTGTATCCAACCAAGCAACTGGCAGAGAGGAAGTGCTCAGGTAATGTCACTAGAGTTATTTGTTGACTGAGACAGTCTCCTTAAGGGCTCTGGGGAAGAATCACCTCAATCCAGGGAAAGAGTCTGAGTCAGGGGCATGCTGCAGTATATAGAGCATGAGGGAGGGCAGCATCCTCTCTTCTGCTCAGCTCCATCATTGCCCTCTCTGGCTCCTGGAAACCGGCTTCTCTCCATGACTCCAAACCTTCCCATGGTGGGGAGGAGATCAAGGGGACCAACTAAATGTAAGAAACCATTTCAGAGCAAACCCGCTGGCCCTTTAGACATCAGAATTCACAAAACGACTTCCTTTTCCATTCCACTTTTATTTTTCTTTTTCGAAATGGAGTCTCCCTTTGTTGCCCAGGTCACTGCAACCTCTGCCTCCCAGGTTCCAGTGATTCTCCTGCCTCAGCCTCCTGAGTAGCTGGGACTATGGGCATACGCCACCAAGCCCAGCTAATTTTATTTTTTTTCTGAGATGGAGTCTGCTCTGTCACCCAAACTGGAATGCAGTGGCGCTATCTCGGCTCTCTGCAACCTTTGCCTCCCAGGTTCAAGTGATTCTCCTGCCTCCGCCTCCCAAGTAGCTGGGACTAAAGGCATGTGCCACCATGCCTAGCACATTTTTGTATTTTTAGCAGAGACAGGTTTCACTGTGTTGGCCAGGCTGGTCTTGAACTTCTGACTTCAGGTGATTTGCCTACCTCAGCCTCCCAAAGTGCTGAGATTATAGGCGTGAGCCACTGCGCCTGGCCCCAGCTAATTTTTGTATTTTTAGTAGACATGAGGTTTCACCATATTGACCAGACTGGTCTTGAACTCCTGACCTCAAGTGATCCACTCGCTTCGGCCTCCTAAAGTGCTGGGATTACAGGTATGAGCCACCACACCCAGCCTCCAT